CAGTGGCGGCCTTAGGGGGTGGCGAGCAGGGCAATCGCCCGGGGCCTCGCTCTTGGAGGGGCCTCGCGCAACAACCAAGTAGAAAAAAGTTGATATTTAAAACTTTTTATTTTATCCTTGGCTATTAGTTATAACAATAAAATAAATTTAATTTATAGTACAGTATATATTAATATTAATAAGTGCCTACTATTTCAATTCACATACTTTGCACAAAGGACAAGGGCCTCGCAAAGATCTGCCGCCCAGAGCCTCGCAATGGATAAGGCCGCCGCTGCGTGTTCCAGAATATAAACCTTTGATGATCGGACTTTTGATTTAACAGTGCATTTCTCCATTAGATATAAAGGCCCAAAAATCCCCGAATGGAAAGGGTAAAGGAACATGAAGATGTCTGTAAGATCTGCCAGTTTCAATTTTAATTTTATATTTTTAATTGGATATTTTTCTGTGTTGTTAAAGGCATGCTTTTAAAATTGATGGCCAAGTAGCCTAAAAAGGAAGGTCTGGTCGTCAAAGGTTTATATTCTGGAACACATAAAGTTAATAAATGGTGGTTACCAAAGAATTTTTTTGGACAGACTGTGTCTTCAATTGATTTACAAAAAAGTTATTTGCTAAATTTATTAATATTTTAATTGAATTTATAAAAATAAATGTCTTTTTTATTTCTTAATTTCAAGTTTAAATTTAATTTTATATTGCTTCAATCTATTTTGTATTTTATAATACTTCTAGCCAATTTTTATTTATTTTTATGCTTAAATTTTTACTTATACATTTTTTATTTTTAAGAATCTCTATACTTTCTTTAAATTTTCTGTTGTATGTTTCTTTTTTTCATGTAGAACTTTAATATTATTCTGGTCTATGTTGCAATTGTTTAACATACAATGATCATGAAAAACAGAATTGATTCAATGATATTTTAGATCTGTGATATGTTCTTTTAATCTTACTTTCATTTTCCTTATTGTTTCTCCTATATAATGTTTGATATCATTACAAGTACAAGGAATTTGGATACAATTGTATCTGTTGGTATTTGTTTTTTTTTTCTTTGTGGCTTTTAGATTTTTTAATCTAACGGATAATTTTTCATATTTTGGTGTGAGCGTAACTTCAATTTTTTTAGTTTCATTATTAATTTTTCATACAAACGTTTAACATATGGGAAGGTGATATATTTTACATTAGAATTTTGCTTATTTTTTTCTGTAGTCTTCTGAGTATTTATTCTCTTTTCCTATGCTTTAATTAATCTACTTGGATGTCTGTTCAGAAGGAATTTCTTTTTTAACTCTATTATGTCTTTATGTCTCTATGGCCTTGCAGCCTAAAAACCGCACGCCAACATCAAACATAGAGGGTACTGCCAAGTGGTCCAGTGGTTGCAATCTAAATATTAGCAAATGTTTCATGTATTACTACTGGTAAATGATATGTTTATTACAAAAGTTTATATTGTTGTTCAATATGACGTGAATAAAGTATTTTAGTTCATTATATTAGTTGATAGCATAATAAAGTTTTGATTTCAAACAAATGTTTGATTTAATGTGTGATAATTTCACAACGAATGTACATGCATAAGTGTTATATAGAGTTGTACAGAACAATATTCTACATCTATCTGGCTCATTGCCAGCAAAAAACTAGGTAACTAAACAATGTTAATTTTGACAAAAAGTTACAAATTATCAAGTTTAAATGTCAGTTCTGATATATATTATTTTTTTCTTATAAAATTTTTCTAATAAAATGTATTGAAAAATATCGTATTTAAAACTAAAGATATTAATAAATGTATGTAATTTTTTTCATATGAATATAATGATAATTTAATTTTTGGTGAATTTTTAAAATAATATTGCCTGGTTGACCCATATTGCCTTCAGACAGTTTACAAAATTAATGTAAACAAGATGGCGGTGGTAAAGGGTTAATTTACAAAAAATTACCATCCAGCAAAATTATACAATAGCAAATAACCATTTAGTCATGAGCTAGCCATATAAACATGTAATAATATGCAAATAAGCCCAGTAATGCACATTGAAATCAGACAGGTGATTTAAGGACAGCACGTAACAGTAAACCTGCTTGTACGATACTAATTTCAATTTTATTAAAAAAGAAGAGTAACCAGATATGCTGTCTAAATCTTATAGAATTCATTACAAGTTTAATTCATTATAAATATTCTTGCTTGTTAAAATATGAAAAATAAAATAAGAAATAACACGTAATAGTGCAACAAGGTTTATCAAATTTTATTAATAGAAGAAATAACAAGGTATAATAGAAGAAATAACCAGGTATGTCATCTTAGTCATATAAACTTACTATACAAGTTTACTTCATTACTTTTATAATCTCCATGTCTTACTTCCTTTGAAAGGAAAAAATGGTTAAGAACACTGGCAATACCAGTAGGAAAGTATAATCTCCAGGTCTTGCTGCTTTTGGAGAATGGCTCAAGAACACTGGCAATAACAGTAGGAAAGAATGAATTGATACAATGTTATGTATCGGCAGTAAATCTACCCTTCAAGTGTGTAGAAAACCTTAATTTTAAAAAAGAAACACGCAAAGGTATGTCTGGAATATGTTTATAAAACTTTAATTAATTAGCACGATAATTGATAAATATTTGCTAGATAAGCAAGGATGATTATATGTGTAAGTTATGCACCCGTCACACGGACATCTAATGTAAAAAGATTGTGATCTCAAAGTATGTTTAGCATAATAATTATATCGGTTATATATACATATAGCAACTTGTGATTTGTGTATATTTTATGATTTTAGTTGACTGAAGAGGGGCATTATTAACCCGAAATGTATAGAAAATAATGTGTATGCGTATCAACTGAACTGAATAAAAATTAAGATGAAAAATGCCAAGTGGTCCAGTGGTTGCACTACATAGTGTTAAAAAAAGATATTTGAACAAGTTGGCAATTAAGGCTTCAGGTCAAGAAGGCCATCAGGAGGTCTTTTTGTNTTTCATCAGAGGAAGATGCCGTCTTGCGTTTCGTCCCTTTAATCTTTCTATTTTGTCTAATTGTTCCTGAAAGTATTCAGCCTCCTCTCTGATAGGAAAATCAACAGCAATTCCACCCTTGTTAATCTTACGAATATGTTTGGTAGGCACCTTATGCAATCTTTGATCAAAAGAATTAGTGAGCAGTGTCTTAGTCTCTTCCGATGTGCTCTCTATTATCATTGTAAACTAGAACAGTATACATTGGTAACGAGGACTTCTTTTCAGACTGTGTATTCTTCAAAGAATTAAGATCGCATTGTAAAATATTTCTATATGTCAGAGCAGTAGTCCCTTGAGAACCTTCTGCCCCTAAAAGTGGAGGTTTCTCCAAGTCACAAATAGTCTGTTTTACTTCCTGAATAGCCTCTAAATTTTTGTCACTTTGAACAATAAGCAGCTGTTTGACATCTTTCGTTGCCAACAAATCAAATTTCTGAAGCAGGAAATCTGATATGGAATTTTTCCTAATTACCTCTTTGGCACTCTTCACTAAGGTAATAAATTTATCTGTAATAAATCTAATATGTTCCTCAGTACCCAATCGCCCTTTTGGGTTATTACGGAAATATCTCTTTAAATCCCCAATGGCTTCCCCAGATTCCTCCAGAAATTCTTCAATAGTGCCAATCGCCATCACTGAGTATAATAACTATTAAAATTAATAATTTCCAAAAAATTAATAATATGAAGAAAGAACATACGACTTTTGGTAAAAATTCTGGAATCTTCTATGGTAAACGTCATTGACCGTTACTATGGCCACAGTCATTCCCACCGGCTAAACCGGGTGAGGTTGGTGCTCCGTAAGGCGTATGTGCAAATCTGGCTTTTTGGATGCTGACGATACAGCATTTCCACTCCGCTACTCCGCCACTAATATTCAAATATACAATAGCAATCTTATCTTTTTTCCACGTGTAGTATAGAAATTTGTAATAAGATACATAATGCAGTTATAATAAAATATTGTGCAATTATTTTCATATAATTATAATTAATATGTATTTATTTTTTAGAAAATACAAGGGAAGTGGCACATCCACCGCTTCCAANTTTCTATGTGAAGTGTTTTGCATTTGTCTAGGCTAGGGGTGACCAACCTTTTTGGGAAGAGTACCACTATCTGAAAAAAAAAATTTGTGTGCCAATTCCAACTTTTCAAGCATACTAAAAAATATAAAAAGGTAAAATATCTTATTTATAAGCTGATTATGGGATTTTTAACCTCTTCATATTTTCTTTTTGATGTTGAAGGTTTACTCGTGGACATAGTGAAAATAAAATTTTTAAAACAATGCTGCTTGATGCCAAAATCTAAAAACAGTTTAAAAAAAGCTCAACGTCTTGCTCGGTTACTTGGCAGTTTAAAATTAACAAGTGTTGCCACCTGTCCGGTTTTTAATTCATTGTCCGGGTTAACTATTAATTTTGTCCGGGATTTTGTAGAAATTGTGAAATTATGATGAAGCAAAGTACTAGCTAATATTTTTATAAAGTTACTTTATTTTAACAGTGAAAGACTTTACACTCTCACTGAAACTTAATTTGCCATCTTATGCAACATATGTCGCAACCTGTCAACCCCTTTTTTTTCTTTTTCTATGTTTTTGTTTCTCAGCTCTTTAAAGCTAAGTTATTCCATTTCTTAATTTAAATTGCTCCTACGAGTCCCTAACTGGTTTAGAACTAGCATGCACATTATTCTTCGCATGGTAAAAATAACATCGCACATACCTCAAGGACTTCTGTTTGAACAAACCTGACCTGCCGTCCAGGTCAGCAATTTTGAAAAGGTGGCAACACTAACACTAAAATCAATTGAGCCAGACCACACTCGCTCAAGAATGGATAACCATAGCAAGAGTCAATGGTGCCAAAGCAAGGCAACTCAAACTGTTGGGCACGTCCCATGACCACGCTGTCTTACCATATCGTTGTACTGGTGTCAAGTACAGCCGCTTTCCGGCGCAGTTGTATTCAGTAGTGTATGAGTAGGGTTTTTACAGATTTTGAGAAAGTTCCTGAAGACAACATTATTATTTTTCAAATTTTTTAATTTTTCAATAAGTCTTCACATGCCACTGTTAAAACTCCTCTGTGCCACACTGTGGCACGCATGCAGCAGGTTGGCCATCCATGGTCTAGGCCAAACTCCATTTGTATGTCCTTGGTGTATGAATGTGTGATTTGTAGGAGTTGATGAAGTTGTTTTTGTGTGGATGCATAAAGTTTTATGTTGTCCATGTATTGATACATTAGATGTGACAGTGTAAACTGTGTTGTTTTTTCATGTCTGATATTGTAGCCATATTGTGTGTTGTTTAACATGTTGGATAATGGATTCAAGGCTAGGCAGAACCAAAGAAGACTCAAGGAATCTCCTTGAAGAATTCCTTGCCTAATGAATATTTTGTTTGTTTGTATGGAAGTGTTGCTAACCCTGAGATGTAGTGTTGTTCTCCAGTGCTGCATAGTGTTTTGGAAGAATGCAATGAGTGATGGATGTATTTTGTACATGTGTAGAATATGTAGCAGCCAACTGTGTGGAACACTGTC